TCTTCTTCTTCTTCTTCTTCTTCTTCTTCTTCTTTTTCTTCTTCTTCTTCTCCCTCCCCCTTCCCCTCTCCTCCCCCCCTTCACACTCTCTGTCTGTCTGACCATGATATAGCCACACTCCACTCTCCTTTTCGTCTCCACATCTAGTATGACAAGCTTAACCTCTGCTGTGTGCGGACTGTGTTGCATTTCACCATAACAACAGTCATCATATCAAAGCTGTACCTCTCAAAAGAAAAGTTATGGTTCGCTCCGGTAATGAGTTTTGATTTTCTCAAAAATTGAAATCTTCAAGTAAAAGAAACACAAATGAATAGGTTAGTACTAACAAATGAATACACGAACAGGTCAATATTTCTTTTAAAAGTTTAATTACTAAATAATTATATACACGAAACATAGATGAATACATAAACGAGCAAAGATAAATAATGTACTAAATATTTTTAACAGTTCAATAACTAAATTAAAAAAATATACGGAACATAGATGAATACACATAAACAAGCAAAGATAAATAATTTATTTAATATAACCTTTTCAGAATGTTTGTTGCTACGCTTTTAACTGTGTGCCATTATCAAAATAACCCATGACTATTTCTGAGTGATAGACTTTGCTATATCATAATATTACTTTTGTCTTTCCTTTTATACCTAGCTTGCTCTGCCTTGCCTGTTATGTACTCTGGCATTTAGCGGATAGTCTTTTTCTCTTTTTTTCTTTTTGTTTGTTTGTTTGTCTGTTTGTTTTGTTTTGTTTGTTCTTCTGTTTGTTTGTTTAGTGGGCTTGTTTAGTAAGTGTCGGGAGGGGGTTTGTTTTCTGTCCTTTTTTTTGTGTTTTTTGTGTTCTTGGAGGACCCCAGAAAGTATGACTTCGCAAAGTTGATGTCTTGAGATAGCCTGTTTCTGAAAATTTTCTATTGGGTTTTTTTTTTGGTTCTTTTTTTCTTTTTTTTTTCTTGAGATAACCTGTTTTCTCAATCTTTTCTTTTTTGTGTGTGCTTTTTAAAAGGTAGCTGCATTTTATGGGGCTGTATTGCAACAGTCTCTTTTTTCTGTTTCGCGAAGTTTCTTATCCGCCGAAAGCTTCTTGTCTGTACATGTATTTTGTGGCTAGGGGTAATGAATCCAGCTAGCTTTTCCCA